GAAACGAATGTATAACTAAAATTCGGGAAGCTCAAAGAAAATATGAAATGCAGCTGGCACAATCTGCACTCAAGCAGCCCAAGAGGATATTCTCGTACATAAACTACAGAACAAGGATGCATCATTGGATTCCCAACCTAATTAAAGTAGGAAGTGAATCTGAAATGATAGAGGAAGATCAGGAAAAAGCAGAGGTTATGCAAAAGTAAACCTGCAGCTGTAGGAAAGCTGTGTTACTCTGTTATCTGTAGATTGCGCTATTCATAGTGACTAGGATGACAACTATGGCAATCAAGCTAACAGGTTAAGCTGTTTGTCTGCGCTCAAGGTATACAAATGATTTAAACCGTCTTATTAATCTGTTTGGGATAGAGTCTAAGACAGGTATGTGTAATTCATCAAAACCTTTTAAGTCACCAGGCTTCATGTTATTTATTCTTCGAATGACTGGATTAAGTACCTTTTCATTTATCTGTCTATTCAAAACATAAGTTCTGGCACAATAATATGCTAAAACGTTGCCTACACAAATGAAGTCGAGATATAACGGAACGAAAAAATGTGTCATACAATACATAAACAAGATCGATGTCTCTTAAAAGTTACTTTTAAGTTAGAAATACAGGTAAGAAAGATTTCAGTTAAGGAAGCTTATTTGACTTCTAGGAATAGTATAGGAGAACTACATTAGGGTCAATACGTCGTGATAGCTTCTTATGTCTGGTTGTAATATGGATTAGATCATCTGGCTTTCGAAACCTCAGTAGACCTTGTCTGGGTCTATCAATCACAATTATTAAAGCACACCATTTATTAAGCATTCGTTCTTCGAGATGAATTGATGCTTTAAAAGCCTGTTATTACCAACTAGGGTGTACGAATGCTTTTTATTATTATTTTAACACATAGATATTGGTACAAGGAGGCACCAAATACAAATGCGCCACACAAATCTCATTCGATATGCGTGAGGGCTGGGATACTGCCCTGACGCCCAAATTAAAGCAGGTGGTTTTCTTTGAGGGCCACTACCCGAGCCTTCGATCTGAAGGTTTGATCCACAAGGTAGTGGAGCATCGTAAGGAGATGCATTCCCATGGAAGCCGGTGACCAACAGTTGGTTCATACGCCGTTTTTCCCGCAGGATACTGGAGCCCATGTGCACCATTAGTTTGCAATCCGGTTAAAGCGCCGGACATTCGCTTTTCGTCCTCCCATTTTCGTAAACAACACCCGCGCCACGAGAAGGCAATGAGTAGGACTTCCCTATATTTTTGAGCAATATATCAAGTTAAAGGTCACGAGCTTTTAGACTTTATTACTAAAGGCTATTTGTAAATAATTAGTAAATTAAGTCTTTCACCTGATTATCATAAGCAATTTAGTTTTATAACCACGAGATTGGTCGGGTTAAAATATTTCCTAGCAGTTGAATAGTGCTATATTTTCGGTGCTAGTTCCTTAACACTTCCATTGGTTTATAATTATTTATGAGTGTTATGTTTTCTAGTATAGAATTCTTTGTTGAGGATCTCGCTGTCGTTCCGGACTAGGTATTTTTCCTACTAAGCAATTAATCTATCATGCATATAAGTTTCAAAACTTGATTTGTAGTGTATATTTCATACATATATGTAGGTAGGTCCGCGCGATCATTATAACCAATGTCTAAAGACTTAGGATGATGGCTCGGAATCATTTGGAGTAACGTAAGCACATCCACTCTTTTTCCTCTTTAGATCCTAAGTTCCTTAATCATCACAAAGAATTCATTTATTCCATGAATCCGTATTTTGCTCTATCATCTTATCTCATGTACATAATCTTTTCTACCATCACTAATATTGTTACTGCATATATTACTGTGACACTTCTGCGCTTGTGTGGTGTGGGAACTTGAGATGATGTACATATGTGTCAAGTTCTGTGTTGCGTACGACTGACTCATTTGATGTTGAGTAGTAAACTGATAACCTCTTAACAAAATATCACAGTAACAAATGGTTTAATCCTAATAAATTCTATATTACCAACAAAACCACGTCTAAATATTGGTCTTTTGGTGTAACAAAACTTACCAGGAATAAACGAATTATTTTGTCCTAGCAAAATAATAAGAAAATGTCAGAAATATTTGTTGACAAGTGAGTATCCTACACGGCCGTCGCATATGTTCAGATACATTCGAAAAATCGTATTTTGCTTGTCGAATGTTTGTATGATTTCATATGCTTATAAATAAGAAAACAGGCCACGTATAATGTAGGGTTGTGTATATTCTTCATGAATCACTTGTGATGCAGATACCTGCTTAAAGGTAGTTCTGATCCCAGCTTGGCATTAGCTGGTAAACCATTAAAAATAAGAGGCCACGGGTGTTACTCAGATCGATAAGGATTGCGCATTATTTCAAATCGATTGTTTGAAATTCGACCGTTAAATCTAAACCTGCTGACTAACTTACTTACGCCTGTTACTCCTCGTGAAGGAGCATAGGCCGCTCACCAGCATTCTCCATCCAACCCTGTCCTGGGCAATCCTTTCTACCTCCGTCCAGTTGTGATTCACCGTTTTCATATCTGCTTCTATTATCCGACGCAATGTGTTATTTGGCCTTCCTCTTTTTCGCTTCCCTTCAGGATTCCAAGTTAGGGCTTGCCTCGTGATGCAGTTTGACGATTTGCGTAATGTATGTCCTATCCATTTCCATCGTCTTTTCCTAATTTCTTCTTCAGCTGGAAGTTGGTTTGTTCTCTCCCACAGAAGGCTATTGCTGATGGTATCCGGCCAATGGATGTTGAGTATCTTGCGAAGACAGCTATTTATAAATACTTGTACTTTCTTGATTGTGGTTGTTGTAGTTCTCCAGGTTTCAGCTCCATACAGTAGAACTGCCTTGACGTTCGTATTGAAGATTCTTACTTTGATATTGGTTGAAAGTTGTTTTGAGTTCCATATGTTCTTCAATTGTAGGAATGCGGCCCTTGCTTTGCCAATTCTCGCCTTTACGTCTGCATCGGATCCTCCTTGTTCATCGATGAAAACCTGCTGACTAAACAGTAGTTTACTAGCAATCGAGTTAAACTTCGTATCTACTAGTAATAATACATTTGTGAATGCTCTCTAGCAAAAACGAAACAGCTATTCCGTACTTCCTAGTCTCTATTACTTTGCTGACCAGTGTCAACAATTTTCATTATAAGTGTACTAGACCATTTTTCAAAAATTGGTTACGTCAATTATCTAGTTTAATGAATTTAGATTCCAAGGTGACCTATCTAGATGTCTGGGCTACCTTTCTCCTAACTATAAATATAGTGATTAACGTTACTGTTTTCAGTCAGTTTAGATTGAATGATTATGAATACTAGCTATATGCGCTCAAATACTGTAATATAATGCTTACAATTTATTGGGTTGTTATACATCGAAAAGTTTAAAAGGGAATGTCACATTTGTTGGTATATTTTCCTCTTTATCTGTTCTTCGATATAAACGAGGGATGAATGTCATAATTCATGCATGGCTGTTGTAAAATAGTTGTAGCAGTTGAACTAATAAAAACGTTTTGTGACCGAGAATAAATGGGAACTACTGATTGTTAATAGCATTTATAAAATATATCAATAAATACTTACAGTTTGTGAATGCATGTTAAATAGAAATTTGTCGCAGTTTTGCATAATCAAGTTCCCAGTCCAGTTTCACGTTCCTTTAAAGATTGAATCATTTTCTCTATTTGAATAAATCATTCTGTTTTAGAAATCTTTATTTCATGAGAGACAGGTTTTATCTCAGATACTTGCTTATTTTAATGAATATTAGAAATATTCTTCTTTTAAGCGTCTATTGTTTGCTTACATTAGAACGGAATTGAGTCTTCAACCTAAAGACATTTCATTTATTTCTTTGCGTTATTCAAGTATCTTTAGTGGAACTGTTGCTATTGATGTCTACTGATATTACTTATGTGCTTTACAATGTACCTTTGGTTAGACAACAGTGCTAATAGCTTACAGTTAAAATTTAAACTGCACGATATCATTCTATTCAAAAATCGTCGTCCGAATTCACTTTCAGTCTCATATGTGTATCATAGTCCTATTAAATTTTGAATGTTTTATCTTTTTGTGTAAGCTGAAGTGGTGAGATCCAAAATTTATGATACCTAAATGTTCTTTAATTAGTCACTTATTCGACTTTACTTTTTATTGTCCTGGTAATATGTCTGCATTTTTATGACTAGATTCCCTGTCATTTTTAATAAATGTCTCATAAAAACACGCTCAAAAGTTCGTATTCATTATTTATATGATTAATCTTTTCACCAGATACTTGGGTATAAACTACCCTCGAAGTGTAAAAACATGATACTATTCGGTTGCCTAAACTGAAGTAGATGGATAGAGGATCAGGTTCACGACATATTGGTCAGAGGTTGAATGCCTTAACCACTAAGTTATCAATTCACTTGTATGTGTGAGATGTGATTAATATACTTATACTGGGAATATCTCGTGTGCTTGATAGTCTTATCTTCTAAATTTCTTAAATTATATAAACTGATAAAACTTGATAGAAGTTATCAGTATTAGTCGTTAAATCATTCTTTCCTCTTGAATAATTTTCTTAGTTATTTATCACTGAAATACAGTTAATCAGATAAAAATTGAAGATAAAATTAATTATTCCTATGCGATTAATAATAATAATCGTAATCATCATCAATTGTTGTATTTCTTGTTTCAGTGTCTTTTTCTCGCACACACACACACACACTCACATCACATTCTCTTTTCAATTCTTGTTTATCAAAAATGATCATAGATTTTTCTTTTCAATCATTAATATTCACTTTCCTATTTCTTCACTATTTCTTTTGTTGCTAATCCATGTTTCTATTGGTTAATTGTTAATTATAATATCGAGTCATTCACATCTGATATTGTTCACTTTAAACCTTTGTAATATTTTCGCTGTTTGTTATTGGAGAATGGAATGAAATGTTTGTTTTTTTTTTACATTATGATATATATATACCCCAACACATCCATCTACTCATTCTTAAAAATTACTAATGGATTCATTCTCTGATAGACATGATTTCTCATTAGTGGATAGTCGTGAACGTCAACGTCAGCGTAGTGTTAATCAAGCATTTGCCGAGCTCAGATATATCCTACCTACACATCCACCGGATAAAAAATTAAGCAAACATGAAATTCTACGCCTCAGTATAAAATATATTCATATTTTAGAAACTATTCTCAAGTATCAAGAAGAAGTAGAAGGACGTTTACCTATTTCAAGTATATCACATATTTGTACAGCAACAACAACAACATCATCGTCATCAAAATCCAAATAAACAATCATTTTCAAAATATATACTACTTATAAATATTAAATTAATATAGGATTCTTATGTTCATGTGAATTTATTCTTATTTCTTTTATTTCAATTACTATCAATATTCTGTTGAGAAAACAAATTGTCCTTTCAAAATGATATAGGGAATTATGTGTATAAAATTGTCCTTTCATTCATATAGAACTTAGTTTTGCCATTGTTTCTTTTATATATGTAGTTGTTTTTTTTTAACATTTAAACTAATTTTATATTCCAGACTTGTTATTGTTACTGTTGGAATGTCCTTTCAAACAGATAGTGTAATTCCTTATGATCTGTAAGTTTTAATTTTGTTTATATATATGTGCAAGTAGTTTCTATTTAGACTTTTTTGTTTTGTTATGATTTCTTTCAATAAATCATTATTTGTTATGTTATTGAAGGTCACTACAAGTCATAAATAGTTGGGTTAAGGATTGAGTTATCCTGTTGATATGATTATTTAATAAGTTCGAGCCTTCTGCTACCGTACAAATTCTTGTGTACCAAACTGTTACAGTTCGTAGATTTTGTGATTAGGAGTCATGACATCAATGGGTTATCAAATCTGGGCAGTTGGCTAATCATATTGAATACATAACTTAACCACTGAAAGTTCAGTATCAGAATGAATTTCTTATAGCTTCATTAACTATCTGTCTATATATATCTATATACATATAGTTAAATAATAAAAAGCAATTATTGATCTCGCATATCTGAAGTAAAAATGTATTACATTTTAAGATGGATGTGACAAATTACAACTTTCAAAGTTTATATCTCGGACTGGTCTTTGTTGAACTACCGTTGAAAGTGAGGAAATGCTGGATAACTGTTTGGTTGTAGTATAGAACTCCTGAAGAGTACTCATCCACGATTTTACTGTGAATCTAACCCAGGGCCTTCCGTCTGGTGGCAAAGACTTAACCTTTATTCACCTGGGTGGGCGTTATTGAAACAGTCCAACATCTCTTGGTTGTCGATAATTTCGTCACATACGATTAGTATGTAATTTATGTAATAATCTAGCTTACTTAGGATGCCTTTTAATGGTACATTTTCTAGTTTGGCCACAATATTAATAATAATTTGAAAGATGGTATCATAAATTTGGACAAATAATCTATTCTGTTAATCCTTTATTATTTGTGAATATATGGTACAGCGCAACCATTAAGGTGTTAAGGACTCGCACAATTATGGACTAACTCGTAACTAGATAACGAAATAAACATTTAAATATATTACATAAGACAGTATGGTGAATGACGCTCTCAGCAATGTAATTGGTTAAGTGAACTGATGCAATTCCAATGGTTCGCTTTGTTTTGTTCTTACAGAGAATGATAGAAAAATTTCCAGGTCATTTCTCAGGTACATTTTGATGTACTTGGTTTTAAGGCACGTGTTGAATATATGAACTAGTGATAATACCGAGCTATTAAACTTAAATTAGGTGAATCAACTTAATGATTAAGGGCTGAGTTATTTTTATTCACTTAACCATTTATCCGACAACCGTTCATATTAACCCAAAATGTTCTACATGTTCATATATGTTGGACATTTGTTGAAAGTTATGTGTTGATTCACGGAAAAATCAATATCATGAAAATAACCCAATAGCCTTGAGCACTTATACTCTGTATTCAAGGTCAATTCATTAAACTTCAGTCAGTCAATAATAACGTAGAACTTCGTACGGACGTACATCAATTCGAATTGCCATACCACATTAGTTCAGAGATGCAGTTGTCGATTCAAATCCCATAGTGGTAGAGGTAGTAAAAGTATGAGCAATAATCGGAAAGATTAGGGTTCGGAGATGTTATTCAAGGAGTATAATCCAGTGAAATAAATTTGGAAAGAGAAAAAAAAGGACATGAAGAATTCAGAAGATTGGAATTTAAGAGAACACAATTTTGAGCTGACCTTTTGAACTTACCTATTTGGTTTTATATTTTCTTGTTGTTATGACTACTAATAATCGTAATATAAATTACTGTTCATTATTTAAATTTTAATTGTTACATTAATTTCAAATTTTATTTTTTCAGCGATGAAGTTTCCTTGAATCCAGCTAAGAACAACAATAAAACACTAACTAATAATAGTACTATACAAAATACAATAAAACAAATGAAGTTTAACATTTCAAATTATTTAATCACTAACCGAAATAAATCAAATCAAATTAGATTAAATGATAATATGCATATAAATGATATTACTAATGAATCATCTTCTAAATTATCTCATCATAAGGATTCGGAATTTCTCAATACCGGATTTACTTTAATTGGTTATACATTTCTACTTCAAATGATTTTACATATCATGACATTTTTATTGAATAGTCTTTCTTATCGTTATTTGGATACAGCTAGTTTAGGCTTAGTCAATGTTCGACTTGGTTTATTTTATTCAACATTGATATTTACTTCAAGAGAAGCATTTCGTCGTGCATGTCTTAGTCGTGGTGGTCAAGTAGTCAATAGTAATGATAATAATAATAATGATAATAATAATAATAATAATAATAATAATAATAATAATAATAATAATAATAGAAAATCAACTGAATCATTATCAAATGCAAATGTTACTACAATAATTGATTCTACAAATGAAGATTTTGTTGATGTTTCTCAGTTTATTAAAAGTTGTAAGCATGAAATTAATCAAGATGGTCATACTTCAATTCAGTGTAGTTTACAATATAAAGAACAATTGTATGGAATTTTCAATCTTGCTTGGCTAGTGTAAGTTTAATTATATTTTAATAAATAATTTCAAAATTTTAGACTTCCAATTGGTTTCATCATTGTAATACTATTGAGTTTTGTGTGGATTTACATCTTACCATCTCCAAGTAATCTAATTAATGAATCAAATTCTGAATTAAATTTAACATCGTCAATTATTGAACAACGTTACATCCTCTGTATCATGATATACGCTTTATCTGGTCTTTTTGAATTAGCTACTGAACCATTATGGCTTATTTGTCAATTATCTCATGAAGTTCGTGCAAGAATTTTCATTGAAGCTTTTGCTAATACTGCTCGTTCAATTGGAATACTATTTGCAATATTTACTGTACCATCCCAGTATGCCATTTATTCACTTAGTATACCTCAAGTAAGTTTTATGTATTAACAGTTATCATATTATTTGTTTATGTTGTAGTAAATGAGAATTCAGGTGGGGTAAATCAATTACTTCTACACACTACTTACATCTGTCAGCATAAGTAGCATGCACCACAGTATAGGTACAATTTTTCGTTTTTACATTTAGACATTCATGCGACCATCAGAACATCATTTATTTTAGTCAAGAGTATCATTATGGTTTCAGTTACATGGTCGCTGAAATTGATATACGAACTGAACTATTACAATTGTCGGTTACAAAATTTACTAAACAATCAATCGCATTATAGGACAAACAATAAACTGTACTTTGTTTATAAAAACTTTCAAGCATTTAAATATTCATGTATGTTTCGGTATGTTAGGTAACCTCTACATTCGGCAGGGACATTTTGTGAATTTCTGGCCAGTAATTCGATTGTCATGTTAGGTCATTTTCCTTGTTCACTATGGATGTTTCTAAGCATAAAAAAGGGAATGGACTAATTATATTGTTTCATAACATGGATAGTATTTTGACTGATGTACTTTAAACTTTGTAAAATAACGTGTTTATAACCTCAGTTCATTCGTTTATGAAACATACTATATATGATCATAATATTTACCTCTATCTGGGTGTATATTTATGTACTGTATTCTTATTTCGAAGATAATTGTAGCTACTATTAGTATTAAAGTTTGTAAATATCGTTGGACTTTTTAGCTTGCATCATGGGTTGGTCTTAGACAAACGTTACAAACCAGAAAACACTTGATTGCTGTTTCGCTGTAGTATATGGGGGGTCCTCGATAGTACATATCCACGACTACAGGGAACAAATTCGGGACCTTCGGGTCTCGTGACGAGCATTGTGGATGTGCAACACCCAGGAGTCCCGTTTAATGTAGTAAAAATGTGTACTTATATATGAATCGTAGACAAGGATGTTCTAGTGTCTTTTCAATCCATCATTTTCTGTTTTGATTTTTTTTAGCTTCTTCATGGTTCGACATTGTTCATAAGTTACTTACTGTATTTTCAATATGGTATACCACGTTTAACATCAAATAACGAATTGAAACTTAAAGGAATCACAGGAATCGCTTCGTTAAAAGATATTTTACCAAGTTATTTTCGGGTTAGTTTATATTTGTGCGTTTATATTATTTAGGAAAATGAAGAAAATTCAGTGAAAGAACTTTCTTGTGGACAAAATCATTTACTTAAGCTATACACTCGTATTGACAGTTACTTGACGTATATTTGAGTCCATCGCTGGATAGGAAGACATCACATCGTAAATAGATCCGAAATATAAAATATCAAAATGAGGTTGCGTAATGATCGAGAGGTTAGAGAAGAGTAGGAGGATGAAGATAATTTACGGTTAGAATTGTGAGTGATAATTGTCCATGTGACAGAGATGAAGACAAAATGAAAAAAACATAAGGGTCATAATAATAACTAAATAATAATCATGAAAAATTGTTATAGGATAAGAATAACTGATTACGGTTTAAAATTACAAAACACTAATTTAAAGAAAAAAACATAACCAAAAGATACTGGAGAAGAGAATTAAGACCAAGGGACGATGAAGGGTTAGACGTATTGCTTTTGCATTCAGAGTTCTGGTTTCAATTGGTGAATTGCGAACTCCTCAGTAGTCCATAAGTTTTAGATTTGGCCTCCCTTCGATCCAGTTCTTTTTATCGTGTAGATTTTTTTGAAGGACAATTTCTTTGGAGTAACGTGCGCAGAGTTGAAGTGCTTCTGTGTTGAGCTAGTGATCGTTCTGTATTTTTGCTTTAAAAGCCACAACGAGTAGTGCTCTGAAATGCGTCATCTATTGTGTCATGAGAGCATATTCGCCTAGTTCTCGAGGGTAAAGGATGAATTAGGTTTCTCTTCTTATTCAGTGGAACTCTGCTATGGAATTCGTGTACTGACTACTTCAGAGTTGCTTTCTATGTTTAGATCACCGAGCGTTCTTTTTAACAGGAAATCAAGAAAATGAAATTTCTCGTTCATCTCTGCTTTAATGGTAATCTAATTGAGTAATGACAATAATTGAATTCATCCAAGATTTCATTGAGATCCAGATTTTCTTCACAAATAATAAGTGTCATCCATATATATGTCTCATATAAATGAAACTTCTTAATTATTGGTTTAAATACCTTATTTTACAGATTGAATATTAAACTGATGGATTTGCAGTGTGTTCACAGGGCCTCCTCTTGGCTGATAGTTTCATGGGCTGACTGAATCAGTAAAGATTATTACACCATTATATAGAAGTAGTTATACAACACCACTGATATGTAGCTTTTTTCCACTTTTAAACCTGGTCAAAATCATTTAACTGCTGACTGTACCAGGTTTGTAATGATAGTCATGCTTTTCTAACGGAAAACCCAACATTGCCCCAGTTATATTTCCTTCTCGCAAACTGAGGAATGGTCTAGAAAAAATCGACCCTTAAAATAGCCCATCGTTTGCTCCTCAGAGCTAATACAGCAAATCTTACTTATAAGCTGCTATACGAAACCGGGCCCTTGCAATTGTTTAATTTGTTCTATGGTATTACTTCCTGGTCAACAAAACTTCCAATTCTAATTTAATCCCAAAACGATTCAACCCATCAGTTCTATTTAGCGATTTTCATTTGCCCGCTTATCATAGCAAACGTTAAATGCATTGTATTACTTAAACTGATAATCAAAGTTGCCTGGTCCGGACTAACGCGACATCCTATATCAATGGTTGGAGACGCTAGACAAAATTGGTTAAAATTACCCACAATGTCACAAATCTATTCACATTTTATATTCTTCTAGATCGCTACTTCCAATATTCTCTTTTTGAGCTAAACTCTGTGTTCGATCTTTCTTATCTATCTTAGCTGCTGCATTTTCTATTCGTTCGCTATTTGTTTCTTTAAGTTTATCTCTTAGTGCTAATTTCTTATGTCAACTTGGGTCAACACAAATCTGTGCCGGGCTCTACGTTGATTATGAGTGACTATAATAAATTCGAGTCTAAAGGCTAATTTTCTTAGTTATAGAAAATTAGGCTGTCATAGTAGTACTTAACAGTACCTGAATCTATTTCTAGACTAATTTTGGAATTAGAAGGAAGTCACTATCGTTTCTCTTCGATTCAAAACTATCTATGTTAATATTAATTACCTACAAAATGTAACTAATTACATTTCTTTTGATTTTTTACACCATGAAAGTATTCTATCGATCGACAAGGCCTACAACTTGTAAAGAACTTTTTTGGTCAGTGTATACTGAAACAACTTTTAACAGAAGGTATGCAAATATTTTGTATGTTTAATATGAAGTAAGAAGTGTTAACGTTGATATTATTTAAAATTCCTCAGACAGTTTCTTTCGAGGTGGCAACATATTTGTTAGTTGACTGTGGTACTACTCAGTTGCCCGAACCAAAGGAGGCATTTTACTTGAAGGGACTACTCCCCGATCCTCTTATCTGGAGGTTTGATTCACAAGCCACTAGAGTGACGTCAGAGGATGCAGTCCCGTGGTAGCAGTGATCAAAATATGTATGTACCCCACTGGTTTGTAGTCAGGTTTTTTCAACTCCCCTACTTAAACTATCCGTACCCACTAACCTAGTTTAAGCTCCTGACATCCACTCTTCATCCCCTAACTTTCATCAAAAGCACCGATTGCTACGTGAAGATAGTGAGTAGAGCAGAACCTCTGTGATAGGAACTATAAATCTCCGTTCACATGGGGCATTTCGAGGTGGAAAAAGAACTCTTTCCACCCTCATCTGTACCGGACTATTTTGAGGTTATTAGCATTCATAAAGCTAACACAAATCACCTATGTACAGATGCATGTAACAGTCTATACACTACTTAGTTATTATAAATACAAAATAAGAATTGGATATATTTGTCTGTTTTTTACATCAAGTCTCAACTTTGTCAGTATGGGGTTTTAAAGATTGCTAATTCTCGTTGAATTCATGAACTAATCTGAGTTAGAACACCATATAAATCTGGGAACACTAGACGACCGTTTCTTCTTAATATGGGACTCCTCGTCATTGTGCATCCCAGACTCCACGCAAGCGAATCGATTTCTGCAAACGCTTAAGCTCTAAATCACTGAGCCGGTATCCAACGATATTAATGTTTAATTTCGATCAATCCAAATCTCAACTTGTTGGTAGAGTGGTATTTTAGTCATTAAAATACTCGAGTTTCACCCTCCGGCCAATAAGTCACACGTATTTGAACCCACTTGGTCCACTTCTGTTTTTACAGATGATTAGCACAACTCAGCATCACAATAAAAAATATCGTACGTCATGAAGAAGGACCTAACATACCTAGTGATCAGTCAATTGTAAATAGTAAGTGAATGTTTAACGTATGAACAGTTAATTTGGGTCATCAAGTTTCAGCATTGAAATTAAATTCTCGTCTTGTTGATTTGAAAATTCATTACCTTTGGATCAGTTTAATAATTGCTGAACTGTTTTACTTTCGTTCTAACTTTATATTTATAGAAATATTTTCATCAAATAAGCTAATTAATTATTTTGATTAGGCAAAATAAAAATACAACTTTCCTTGGTGCTAAACTCACGTTGATTTCAACTTCTTTTGTTGGTCTATTCAGGTGAAAGATATTTAATCAGTGCGTTCCATTTGATAAGTTTCACTGATCAGGGTAAGTAGTAATTTTAATTTGTATAGGAAACATATATGTGTCCTTTATTTTGGAATTATTTTATCGATGGTTCGCACAAATTTTATTGAACCATTAATGTTCAATAATTAGACAATTTAACTTTTGATCAGTAGGATTCAATACACCTATTCTGTTTAATCTAATGAGTAAAAATTAAAATTTATAACGTTTTGGAGCGTAGTATAAGACACTTCTTCGGTGCAGATCAATAACAGACTTAAATGAGCACAAGTTTAAACAGTATTACGATCAGCATCATAATGGGTCATTTTTGCTCGAGGCGATTCCATGTGAGATATCAACATGGGCGTCATATCCCACTGTATTTATGAATTTTATATCCTTGTGTGGCCATACATACATAGAGAGGAGTAATCATGATTTGTGAACTACGGTGTCTGAACATGTAACTAAATGGCTGCGGAAACAAATAAAATCAAATGATGCTATAAGAGTAGATGATAAACATCTATCTTCCTTCTAAGCTGAGATGGATGGTGGCTAGCAGTGGAATCTTCGACACTCATTTCATCGTATTTGAGATTCATCAGCTGGATATACCTGCATCCCAGTGTTGATGCTCAACCTGGGACTCAAGCCCAGTGAAGCAAAGGCCCTAAATTTTCAGTAATGATGATTTGGGCTGCATTACTTCCCCTAAACTATGTCGATTTTCTTCTCCTCTCTAGGTATATATGATCTCGTCAATAATTTGGGCTCTTTAGCGGCTCGTCTACTTTTCTTACCATTGGAAGAAAGTTGTCATTTTATGTTTAGTCAATGTATTCAAAGAGATGTCTCTCCAAGTAAACAAGACAAAGTAAGTTCTCACTCATACTGTGTATATTTTGTGATGTTTAATTGAATTCTTACTATGTAGAATAATATGAATTGGATACGAATAGGTAAATAGGGATGAATGCTAAATAAATTTCTCAGTGTTTTCAAGTGTTGTAACAATAATGATGACAATAATGGTAATAATAATAATAACAATAATAATAATAATAGTAATAATAATAATGATAATAATAATAATAATAATTATTATTATTATTATTATTATTATTATTATTATTATTATATGTGTGAATAAGATGAGTTTAAGCTATAAAAATGAACATTGATCAGACTGCTTCACCATGTCATAAAAATGGTTATCAACTAAGTTAGGTCAGATGTTGACCAAGGTAAAAGGTATGGATTTTAATAGTCCTATATCTGACTTCACTTAAATCGTTTGGATGATTGTTATTGAAATATACATACCGCCTACCCGTGTATACAATCATTGACTTAAATTGCGCCTAGTGTATAACGGAATTAAATAAGTCAAATACGAGAATGGATTTCGAATACGTGCATTTCATACAATCGTTGATTGGAAAGCGATGCAAAACAAAGTGACACGCAGTGAAGAAGGTGATTGAGCCAACTCGGTTTAACCAAGCGTGAATCGATATTTATAGTCAGACCAAAAATAAGTTACAGGCATGTGATGATTAGGATAAGAAATACACACACATACGCCAATATAAAAACAGTCAAGGTTGATAGAAGAATAATTAAAAGTGAATTTATTAAAAAGAATATTCTTCGTTCATCTATCTCTTTTTTGTTAATATGATATAATTTTTTCAGCGATTGAATTCTTGCTAATAACAGGGTCTACTTTGTGTCAACGTTTTGATGTTGACCGGATAGAGTTCTAGCCATTGCTTATTCAGTTCAGGCTGAACTTCGAATATGGCGATTGAGACATTTCCTACTAATCATCACTAGTAGGTAAATGGATAACATACTGGAAGATACTCGAATACGTTTACTTCTGTATCTTTGTTGTTCGGTTTTGTTGAAATAGAAATTGTTTTTTTCTGGTTAAGGGATACCAGACGGTAGAAAAATGCAACATTTAGAGATAATTTTAAATCTTGGAGATGATTTGTGTCGTGACCTATATGAGTTTAGAAAATTTGTAGACTATCGGGTTTTTAATCAGTTGGTTGGGGTAAGTCTCACAACTTTTATTTATGGATGACATTTGAGCGATACTAAATTAACCTTGAAAACGTCAACGAATTATAGAATTCCAAATAGGGGGTATGAATTAGCCTCAGAAATTAGGATTAGGAGCTTAACGTTAATGTTTTGATCATATCGGCTATCATACCAAAATGATAGATTGAGTAGTATTTCTTGCCGACTACATCCAAACACTGAACATTCTAACTTAGTGCACTCGGTGTCGAGTCATTTACACTAATGACTATATTGGAACTTTGCCGAAAGGATTTAATCCGCCCTGAAACATCACTCTAACCACCACTCAGAGATCAATCAATTGTATTTATGTCTTTTCAAGTTAGTATGGTAACTGAAAAGGGTTTTCATAATCTGAGCAGTATGATGATTTCCGTGATACATATTATTTTTATTCAATGTTGCGTTATACTATTTTTAAGATTAAGAATAAAACATAACGTGTGTGATATCTATGATCATCTCATTTACTAATGTACCACATCTCTGTATGTACAAGTTTCGGGTGATGTATTTTAAACCAAGTTTCTAAACTGATGAGTAGGGCTTATTAACCTAATTTGCCCGAACCAAAGTTGATAGAGCTGTAACTCGAATCTACTTGTTGGTCAGACTTATACATAACTATAAATTTTAATTGATCCGTCTTGTTCTCTCTAATTTGCAGAAATTACTTATGGATGCATTTCGTATGCTTAAAACAGCTTTACGTATTTCAAGTCTTATAGCTTGGATTGGTGTAACTTTTGCTCAAGCTAATTCTCGTTTATTATTAATGATTTACGCTGGGCATAGATTAGCTGATAATTATGTAGCGGTCAATTTATTACAATTATATTCTGCTTATGTTTTGTTACTTGCATGGAATGGTTCGACTGAAGCGCTGTTGAATTCCGCAATGTCAACAGTAAGTTTCGTATGTTTTATTATATATGTATATCGTTCTTATTTGAGAAAAGAAACGTATTAATACAGTTCACTTCGTTCTGTTAACAAAATGTTTAGCTCAAATCACTGACATGACTTTCTCTTCGGACTACTGAATTTCAAGCTCGATAGGTAATGGTTACTGTGTATCCATGACTTATACTTACCCAATCACCACCGACGCACAATGTTAGCTGACATAAGATTAGGTTGAAAGAAGCGAATATAGGAGACTAAATCCCAAACCTATTGTCGCTTAAGGAAGTCATTAACCACTATTGGGCAACCGCTACTACTAACCAAGTCCCCTTTTTGTTTTATCTATCTCAACTTATTTGATGTTCGGAGAGTTTCAAAATTTTCCTCGTCAAAGTCTTTAGAGTCACAGAAACTCCATGGAACGTCTTATCTAATCAGCGTTGAATACTCATCACAAAACCATCTAGAAAATACATAATTGCGTACCACGATTTGGATTGAATATTCCCATATACCGCTACTATATTTAGTATGGTTCCAGAGACCCAAGGTCGTGTGCAACTCTATAAATACCCTCGCTGTTTTGTGCATAAGCTAAGTTTGAAGTAAAGCTTTGATTTGTAGTTCGCAGCTTATTTCTAGTGTCCCAGTTGACATGTACAATTAGATGAGGTTATAGAAACCTGCTAAGAAGACAGTTTAAGCGTATCGGTAGGAAGGCTTATCACTTTATTTAATAACTATCACTTCTTTTTTATTTCACAGGATGAGGTTTTACGCCACAATCAACGTTTAATAATATTTTCCATAATATTTCTCAGCGCAAATTGGTTTCTTGTCCCAATATTCAATGTATACGGTTTTGTACTGGCCAATTGTATTAACATGATTACTCGTATTTTATATAGGTAAGAAAATGAATGTTGTGTGTTTGTATAGTGTTTGTTATTAAATTATTTTTAGTCCCTGTTCTCACATGACCAGGCGTATACAGCCACTCTCACGGAAGTCCTACTCACTGCCTTCTCGTGGCGGGTGTTGTTTACAAAATTGAGAGTACGGAAAGCGAATGTCCGGCGCTATAACCAGGTTGGTTGTGGATACGGAGAATCCACTTAAGGGAGTGGAAAAACCCTGATTCCAAACCAATGGTTCACATGAGCTCCAGGATCCTAAGGAATTAAATAGAGTATGAACCTGTTGTTGGTCACCGGCTACCATGGGACTGCATCTCATTACGTTGCTCCACTGCTTTGTGGATTAGATCTTTAGGTCAAAGTCTCGGGGTGTAGAATCTCCTAAGAAAACCACCTGCTTCGGTTTGAGCATCCCGGTATTACCCTATCCCTTACACAAATCGAATGATTAGTGTGGAGCATATGTATTTGGTGCCTTCTTGTACCAATATTTATGCGTTCAAACAATTTGAAGCAACTCGTATCTAGCCAGAAGGTAATTTGTGTGTCAAGGGAGCATACAGATTAGTTTGAGTGATGAGAGCTGTAAGACAGGAGTACAAAAGAAAAAGTGAGCCGACGACCTAGCAAGCTCACAAAATGCACCTACATTTAATAAGGAAAATAATACATATAAATCAACAATCAACACAATCTGGAAATCGAAACTAGAAGCAGATAAAGTGAAGTTTTTCACCCGCTAAATATTTATAGAGGTTTACGGGATATGAGATAATCGTCACAAAACATGTTAGATGCTGGTCACACATTGTCTACAATTACCTGAACATGGAATTATGGACTACTGAATATCAAGTCACTGATCTAATGGTAATGCACTAACTGGCAATCTTCAAGGGTATGAATTCAGTCCTTGATGAATCATAGGCAACTAGTTAATATCATCGATTTTCACATACTAATGCTGCAATTCAAAGCAGAGTACATAAACATATATTATTGGTATGCAAGTTGAATAATCCATACCGTAAGTGATTACACTATTGAAGAGTTCAATATTATTAGGTTAAAAAGTTTTCCAATACGTCCTAGTGTTTAATGGTTGTCCAGCTAAAGATATTTCGATGACTTACACCTGTTACTCCTCGTGGAGGAGCATAGGTCGCCGATCAGGATTCTTCATCGAACTCTATCCTGAGTAATCGTTTCCATTTGTTTCTAATTGCTATTCATTCATTTGATGTCTGCCTCCCGACGCAATGTGTTCCTTGATTTTCCTCTTTTCCTTTTCCTTTCGGGATTCCGAGTTAGGGCTTTCCTCATGTTGCAGTTTGGTGGTTTCTGCGATGTTCGTCCTATCCACATCCAGCGTCTTTTCCTAATTTTCTCTTTAGCTGGAAGTTGGTTTTTTTTGCCTCAATGCGTCTTTGCTGATGATATCCGACCAACGGACATTGAGTATCTTGCGTAGACCATCGTTTTTGATGAGGTGAACTAAAACCATTTGAATCGATATATATATATATATATATATATATATATATATAGTCGATGTGCTAGACTGGTAGCTTAGTGGTTAAGGCGTTCAACTTCTAGCCAATAAGTTGTAAGTTCGGACCTCATCCACCTACTTCGGTTTAGGCGGCCGAATAGCATCATTTCCTTTTACACTTCAACGGTGGTTCATACCCAAGTATCTGGTGAAAAAGTTATATATATATATATACCCCTATGTTTCGCTACTAATATTGATTCTGTTTCTTATTTGATGATTATTCCTTTGACAGTGTTTATTATATTAACAAATTTTTGGCAAAAATTGATGAACCAACGAATATTGAAAAACAAAACAACTTGGATGATAATAATGATAGCAGCTGCAGTAGTAGTGATAAATCATCGACTTTCGTTGTGTTATCAAACTGTGAAATGGAAAAATTCTCAAATATTTCATTATTATCATTAATGTTCCCATCATATAGTGAAAAGTGCATTCTATTCATTTCACTTGTATGTACTTTAATTTCACAAGTAAGATTATAGTTGTTTGTGTTTCTTTTTTTCTTCCTTTTACCTCTATTGGTATTATTGTACATTTGTTTATTAATTTTAAGTGAATTTATAAAACAGTTTAACTTAACAACTGTGATTAACTACTTATACCCGTTTATGTTTAGAAAAATTCATGGTAATTTTCAGGCTTTATTCGTCACAGATTGATCTCAATCGAGGTATCATTGAGAAATAAGAACTGAACAATTGTTTCTTCCCAGTATGGGACTCCCATGTACTGCGTACATGTCGCCCCCATCAGGAATCGAACTCAAAATTGTTGTGTACCATGAAGAAAGCCTAGTCACTACAACCATTGAATTGGTGTTCAGTTGTACACTTCTAACTCTAATCAGTTTAAATAGAGCAAGAACAAACATTGATGCATAATAGCATGAATTCATATTATTTCGAGGTTTCTCGTCAGCTGCTTACAAACCAAAATTGTGATAGAATTTTTTACATGGAGATAGTGTGAAACAATTGACATAAATGAGTGTAAAATACTTGATTACAGTAATAACTATATATATGCTAGATCTCTGACCTGTTTCTAGCATATATATATAGTTATTACTGTAATCAAGTATTTTACACTCATTTATGTCAATTGTTTCACATTATCTGCATGTAAAAAATTCTATCACAATTTTGGTTTGTAAGCAGCTGACGAGAAACCTCGAAATAATATGAATTCATGCTATTATGCATCAATGTTTGTTCTTGCTCTATTTAAATTCATAAAGGGAACCAATTGCATGAAATTTCTAATCAGTTTTTTGATACAATGTGAAGAATATCGAGTAGCAATTTTTTCACTCTAAATATATTTGGACTTTATTAATCATGACTTTTGTCTATTACTCCTTGGTTTTCTTTGATATTTCAACTCAGATCAATCTGTAAAATTACCAAGATGAAAACCAAAGCTACATAAGTAGTATTAGTAATAGTAAGAAAAGATTAAACAGAATATAATTCAAGTGGAATAAATTTTTAGAATAAAAATATATTATGATCGTGAAATCCAGGATCTATGGTAGACGATTAGTGAATGCATTTACACCATTATGACCGATTTTGAGGGATTTCACCCAATGTGTCCAATCACTGGTCACGGTTATGGTGCCGACCCCAACCACTATATCAACTAGCTTTACATGCAAATCCCAACCACCTCAATCGACGTGGATTCACTACCATATTAACCGATACATCACTATTGCCTACTACTGTGTCTCATCCCATACTGCTGTTCTCAAGTTTAAAGCAGAGATCAGCTGTTGCAACCAGTTACCAAGATGTCATTCCATTCAAACCCTACTCTTACACATTCTTACTAATCGACACTTTGTTTTCAGACTTTCAGTCTATTTGTATGAATAGGATCGTGAAGATTTTTGAGTTTCGCTGAAGTCATAAACTGATCAATCCTAGACCACCGTTAAAGACATGAAAGCACTTCGGTTAAACATTAACACCGTTAAGTACCGCGTAAGTGGCCTAGAGGATAGGCGTTCTCGCGAGGTCGAAGGTCCCGGGTTTAATTCTCATCTACTGAGTCCTGTTTGAAATACGATACTATGAAGAAGTGGTTGCCCAGTGCTTTCAGTTTTCCAATGATGGTCTGATATTGATCGATTCATGATTTCAATGAAATCTCTGTCTTCTGTTATACTTTGCCAATTTTCATTTAATTTTCTTGCTTTGTTTTTTTTGCTGCTTTAATTCTTTCTAGTACTTTTTGTGTTGTTCTTTTGGCATTCTATGGATGATATTACATGGTACAATTACATTCGGATTCTTATTCATCACATTAATAATAATTTATTACGAAGAAGTTGATATTTTACAACTTATTCAAAATCGTTTACCATCTTTATTACAATACAAAAAATCACAATAAATCCCAGTTATTAATCATACTCTTTCATTTGTAATGTTACTTATTTCAAATAAATGCTTTAATTCAATGCTTCTATAGTGTTTCACAGTTTATATTTCTTTGTTGAGTTCATTCAATATCTTGTTGAATAGTTAAAAAGAAAAGTACTTATGATGTTGTAATAATTATTTTAAAATGTGTTTAAATTATACTTTTTTTTGATGGAGTTATGTTTTCTGAGCTAGATGGTTTAGTCGTAGAGCATTCATCGTTATTCTGAACAATATCATTATCTACCTGAAGTATGTGCTGATGATGTTGTTCAGAAGAACGATGAAAGCTCCACGATTAAATCATTCATCTGAGCTACAAATCTCCACTTTTTTGTGCTTTAACTTTATATAAATATAATTTAATGAAAATTGACATCATTCCATAAAAAAGAAAACTTAATTTGTTATCTTTCTTGTTAAACTATGAATGCATGGATCGATAATGATGCATAAACCTCCCTTAAATTGATTAACATTCATCAGTCTCATATGCTTTAAAATTGAATTGTTATGCTCAATTGGCCTTGAGAACTTTTAACCAATCAGGAATGAGCAAATGTGGATGAATGAAACACTGTACGAAACACAATTATTTACGAGTGCATCATTGAGTGCGAGTGTACTATAATGACGGCCTTAAGAGACGTTAAATAACCTTGAACCTGATCAGATAGCCAATCAGGATGCAGCATTTGTGGAAAAAAACTGGAAGATTTACGCAGATTTCAGGATTTTAACGTCATTATTTGATTTTGTTAGGGGATACCATCGGTAAATTAGGCTGGAAATCTTGACAGCTTCTAAACTTTAACTCCTGATTCTAACGCTTTTAACCTAACTTCTCTGGACAAAATAGTCATCATCCATTCCATTAAAAAATCGGGATCGTAGTGAGAAATATGGTATCCAACATAAATCTATCCATGATAACGTTTTAAATTCGCTCTAATGTTCAACATTGGCCACTTTAATTTTGATTGCTCTCTCAAGGATTTAAGTATAACATACTTTTATCAAATATTGCTTTTGCGTGATTAGTTGATTATACCCATTTTAGTTGTGGGTTCCCAACCGTTAACGTTTAGTGTTAACTTATATATTACCTGATCACTATTCCTAAAGTTAATTCTATCCCAATTCTAACCTTAAAATCTATTGCAACAAAATATCACTTCTTATAATGTTTCTCAAACTGATCTATAATCTTTTGATCTTCATATTCACAAGTTAGTGTTTTTTCTTATCAATCTGACCCGTAATCAAAGATACACTCACTTCTATGTTGATTTGTATACCCACTGGATTTTTGTTTAGAAAAAAAAATTACATTTATGAAATGATAACGAAATCGCATGTTGCATATTATGCTAAACATTAATTCACTTTCATTGAATACAAGAATATTGTATCTTGAATAAACGTCATACTGAAATAAAGTATATATTATAATGAGTAATCATATTGAATTAAAAACAATAGTAATGTTGAACGAAAATCACAATATGTGTCTCCTATTCCTTCATCTTATCATAATCAACTGTAGTAAGTCAGTAGTTAAAGTCTTGGTTCTGTATCTTTAATATGACCTTTAAAGCGTTTCTTTAATCTTGGTTAGTTCTCTCTGTGTTCGATCATCTCTGTCTCCGAAGGATTGCTGACATCCAGTGACAACACCATGTTGTTAATACAGAGGTTCGGCATCGTGTGTTCGGGTGCAGAGACGATAATCCAGTTGGTGTCACCATCTTGAAACATCGACTTCGGTGGCTTGGACATGTTCTACAAATGTCGTCCTAGAGAATTTCACGTCGTTCATTATTTGCCGACGCTGGGACTGGTTGGAAAAAACGGATAGGTGGTCGGTGTATGACATGGTGTCGTGGTATGAAAGAAAGCTGCACAGGATTGGCTTCTGTTGGTCCTTCACGACTCCCTGTCTGGGGTCCAAGAGATGGTGCGACACAGTGGCTAGAGACGTTATCAGATATGGCTCAGAATAGGAGACAGTGGTGATCCTGCTGTAACCTTCTTTTACCTTCTTCATAAAAGGTGGTTGCTTCTTCCTTAACTGAAAAATCTCTTTCTGATTGTACGTTTCTGTTGCCCCCATTATTATTTTTTTTACGCTCCTTACCTTTTTTCCTTGTTCTCTTCAAATTCTCATTGTTTTTGTGTGGCGCGTATATATTTGGTGCCCTCTTGTAACCAATATGTTTGTGTTCAAATAAATAAATAAGTTTTTTATTATGTTCAAACTTAATTTTCACTTCTTAATAAAAATTATATGCTTACTAGTAGCTAAATTTGAGATGGATATTGGAAGTCCTAGTGGGTGGAAAGGTATGATTGGTGTAATCCAACCATATCAAGTATGAGGCAAGTGTATAACCGATGAAACTCAGCTATAGTCTCATAATCATATCATGAATTGATTAAAGCTGGAAATGTGAATTATTAGGTGCAAACTTGTTCATTCCAGAGAAATAATTCGGGCTACTACATTTGATTTCGAACCATGTCACAAACTTCCCAACCTTAGGATACATTTATGGTACATACGATGATCAACAGGATTGTGCTTACTGAAACAACTAAGTTCACCATTCAATCACATTTTGATCGATACTAATTTTTGGTTTGGCACCACCTAGCCTTCTAACTAATTCATAGTTGCACGTAGATGATCCCTGAGCATACATTACACATACTCCAACCACTTTGGCCTTTTATAGTTTACTTGCATTACAATCGAATTCACGTCATGGACGTCAGCAAATCTGAGAATATTTGAAGTACTTATCTTCCAGAATAATCCAAACCTCAATGAATATATTTGGTATCACTTATTCGTTTGGTGTTTTCCAGCAATTGATACTGTCTTACAATGTCGCTCATGGTCAGCGTTTTTCCTTGATCGAATATGATCAACAATCATGTCAGATATCACCAAGTTATGATAATTAGACCATTTATTTATCTACGTTGATGATCGCAAAGAGTAGTTCACATTCATGGTTTACAGTACTAACATTCATCATAAAGCCATGTTCATTCATTAATATTTTCGAACAACGGCTTCTAGTAGGAATGATTAGTCATTATTATTTTTATTATTATGGCACACTTGAGTGATCGTTCTCACAGCTTTTATGAAGCTCTTGTTTCATAGTGCATACAGTAATATGAAATTACAATATTTATCTACTTTTGTTGATTTCAATTTTGGTAAAAGTAAACGATACTGACGACCTTGAGAGACTTGTTTAACAATCATGATAAAAGGTTTTAGTATAAAATAGCTGACCATAAAAAGCAATAAAATCACAATATAATAATAGTTTTAATGTGATTAATTGGCTCATAAATGTTGAAATATGCTTTACAGTTAAAGAAGAACATTGAGTTTACATATTAGGAGTTGAACTAGTTTTGTTATTCAGGTTTGTGATCCTGTAAGGTTTTCTGTCACCCAAATGATAACGGCTGTGGTTCAAGAAGGTTAGGAATAAGTATTAAGTGTTAAACTAAAGTTATGAATCAGGGTTAGGGTTTTCATCGTAAACTGACATCAAATGTAATACAACGATACATCGACAATCCTTCGTTTACACGCTTAGTTGAGATTTCGAGTTAAGAGCTAGAGTTTTAGGATATTGTCTAGCTACGCAAACAGCCTTGAGTATGTATTCATTGAATCACATCAAATGTCTTAACATACAATCAGTATCAAAAGCAGGTATTTCTTGATATTTAGTCTATGTACCATCTTATATTAGATATTTTTATTACCCTCAAGCATTTTAAAAGCGAAATATTGTCAGTTTCCATAATAATAAGAAGGCTATCATTCACTGCACTTCCAATTTCATGCCGAAATTCGTGATTTTATTCTTGAAGCTGTACAATTATATTTATATCCATAGTGTTTAGAAGTGCAGTGTTTTTAGTGGTGCTTCAGCTGTCAGTTCATGACGAATACTGCCTACAGAGCAGTTTGCCTAGATAATTATTATTTTGAATTTCATTTAATAATATGCGGTTAAGAATAAAGTTAATTCTAACCATGTTGTTGTAGATAACCAAAACGAGTTTATATCATTTATATGAGTAAGTTTAAACTGTGATAAGATGATAATATAGGGATGAGCATAAAACAACTGCAGTGAATTTCTAATTAGTCGAAAAATGGCATATTTAAACACAGTTTATGGAAAAGAAAACAATACTGTCTCAAAATATGAAGAGCTTTTCTGGGATTCATACATCTCTCAATGTCTCTTATAGGTTAATCTGCCTATAAGTCGAAAAAAGTCATACAAACCTGTATTTATCATTCTAATGGAAGTGATAAGTTGTCCATCACGAACTCATAAAAGGACCCAAATAGATTTTCACGAGATCCCATATTATTCCTAGTTAGTGTTAGGTATTTAGGACTAGGATGAAGGGTTTAAAGTGGTTATCTGGACTCAGTAGCTAAGTGGATAACATGATGACATTTAGAACGAAACGTACCGAGTTCGAATTCTGGACTCAACATCAACTCGGATGTAAGCACATCTAGCTGACGAGTCTCAAGTACGACGAAACGAGCGTCGTGGACTCCACTGATTAACATGAGCTCTATTGTAAGATAGTTTTTAGCTATAAGGGTGATTGAGTTTCACCTAAAAATGCAGTCGGCGTTGTCTTAGTATTTTTTCCATGAAATATATTGCCGCTATTGTAAAATTTGCTTCAGGATTACAATTTAGGGATAGTGTTTATTTGCCTGTTACGTACAATGTCCAGAGAAACGATTAAGCATTCGTAAATTTTAACATTATCATTTATAAAGAAGGAGATTATATTTTTAGAAATCTCAGCGATTGAACTGTACAAATAATGTCCTACATCAACTCAACCCCTAACTATTGCGAAACCTGGAAGATGGTCTCGCAATATCGTGGATTAGTTGAAGTTAGACAT